GATGGAAAGGCTAAGATCTGAGGCTTTAGCTGATGTCACTATCTTTCGTCCCGAGGTCAGACTCACCTCGAGAGGATCAATAGCGGCAGTAGCGCGAACTCCGATGGCATCAAGACATCGTCGTGAAATGAAGGTATGAGTAGCTCCGGTATCAAACAAAGCAAATACAGGAACATTATTAAGAATAACCATTCCGGACATGGTACCTGGCTGCTGTTCGGCCTCTGCCTGATCAATGGCGTAGACCCTGGCCTGCTGTCTACCCCTCTGCTGCTGCTGCTGAGGCTGCCTCTGTGCCTGCTGCTGCTGCTGTGGCTGTTGAGGCTGCTGAGCCTGCTGAGGCTGCTGCCCCTTCTTCAGAAAACGGTTCGCAGTGTCCGGGCTCATGGCAATAGAAGCACACATCCTGACCAAAGCGACACTCGCCTCGGTGATGACGTCCACATGTCGGGCACTGTGGAACCTGCTGATGCTTCTTCTTGGCCCTCTTATCTGTCTGGGCACCCTTATCCTTCCTCTTGTTGTTCTTGGCCGGCTGGGTAGATGGCAGAGCTGACATCGGTGGAGCTAAAGACGACTGGCCACGAACGGCCTCCCTCCTAAGGCTGGCATCCACCTCCTGGGCAATGGAGACTGCACGAGCATACGTCTGGGTCCCGTGGCCTACGATGTTATGACGGACTGCTGGGTAAAGTCCGTCAATGAAACGCTGCGCTCGCTGGGCCTCCGTGCGGACCAAATCGGGTACAAAAGCTGCAAGTCTCGTGAACTCTCTTTCGTACTCGTCGACAGTACGAGTACCCTGCCGGAGCGATAGAAACTGGCGCTCCATCTCTGCTCGGTAGTATGTGGGATAGTACTTCTCACGGATCAAGTCCTTGAGCATCTCCCACGTACATCCCGCCTTCTCACCGGGACGCATGTCCCAGTAAGCGTTCCACCAGAGCCTAGCATCTCCGGTGAGCTAAAGCTGAGCGCATATGACGCGATATCTCTCAGGGCACTCCATGACCTCGAAGATAAACTCCAGGCCCTGAATCCACTCGTCAACTATGCGAGGGTCTCCCTGCCCTGAGA